GGCCGCAGCTGCGCTCGCCGATGCCTTGGCGGACACACAGGTCCACTCACCTCGACTCCGAGCGAGGAGCGGGCGGCGCGGGCGCCCGGACAACGTGCCACGACGCCGCCGCCGAGCAGGCGGGGCTGGCACTGTGCGTTTTAACGACGGGGCGAGGAGAGGGGCCCTAAGGGAACATAAACTCGCTCAAGGCTGGCAGAGCACAGAGCTGGGGGTCAGGCCGGAGGTGCAGGGGTGAGAGGACGCCCCAGAGACAGCAGGGGCAGAACAGGCGGCTCCACGGAGACACACGGCCGAGGGGGCAGCGGGGAGGTAGGAGGGGTCTGCTGCGCCCTGGCCGGGGTGGCACTCAGGCCACACGGGGACAGAGACAGCCCGAGCCTCGCCCCGAGGCCCCCACCCGGCGTCGCTGTAACAGTGAGACAGAGGAGCTGTCGGGGACACGCAGGAGGGCTGAGGCCCGAGTGCGCTCGGCACGGGCTGCCCGACAGCTGCGGCACAGCCGGGCACAGGCCTCTCGTCTGGCTCTGACGCGTTCCAGCGGTGGCCTCTGTGGCCTGTGACCCCACACAGCCGGCCATGAGCACGAGGGGGACGCGGGGTGGCTGTCTGTGACGGCACCCCCACCGGAAGTGGCCAGGAGAGCAGCGGCTCCTGTCGGGACAACAAAGACAACCTGGCCCAAGGGCCGCGCTGCCTCTGGGAAGGCGGCGGCCCTGCCCCTCCCGGGCACCTGGCCCAGGGCCTGACCCTGGCCAGGGCGCTCTGAGCGCCCTACAGAGGTCAGCGGGCCCACACAGCAGGTCGGAGGTGGCCAGCACAGCCCTCAGGACAGAGCCGCTGGGAGCTGGGAGAAGCACTAAGGCCCCCGCGAGCCCAGGCAGCAGAAGACCCCGCGGCGAGGGCAGACAGGAGCGGGCGTCCGCGTCCAGGGGCAGGACGCCAGCAGTGGCAGCGGGCGCTCCGGAACAGGAGGGGCGGGCGGCCCAGCAAGGGTGGTGTGGGGCCGCTTGGCTGCGGGGACCCTCGACTGCGAGGGACAGAACGCGCGGCAAACCCAGACAGCACCTCTGGCGAACGAGCGCAGGCCCAGGCGGAGACCCCCCAGAAGACGTCCGCCCCACCCCCGCGACGCGCCCGACGTCTCGCTGAGGGGCTCCAGCGCTCACGCAAGCGCAGCTGCTTTGGACCTGGGGCTCACTGATGAGCCCCAAGCACCTCATGCGCTTCCTAGCGCTGCAGCTCGCAAGGGGGCCAGCGCTGGGCCAAGGGCCAGGTTCTGCTGCCCCCACCCCACCCGTGGCGAGTCCCGGGGGGAGGGGGGGGGACAAACATCACAGCAAGAGCCACGCAGATGCTCGGGCCTGGTGCAGCGACCTTCCGGGGCTGCCAGCTGGGGTGACAGCGGTGTGAAGCGCGGGCGCCTGTAAGCGCTGGCTGCCCGGAGGTGGGCAGGCTCGGCGGCGGGGAGCCATCGCAGGGGCCAGGTCCGCGCTCACAGCGGAGGCCTCCTGGGCGCCAGTCTGGACTGCAGAGCAGCGGCAAGGGCCCCGCCAGGGAGAGGAAGGCGCCCTGCCGGGGCCACCCCTTGCCGGCGCCGCCCAGGCCTGGCAGGTCTGCCCTCTCCTGCCGGCCCCAAGCCTCACACACAGGCCCTGCTCGGTGCCTGTGCGCGCGGGCCCGAGCAGCCGGGTGTCATCGTCCGGGTCCCCACCCAGACGTCGGCTGGGCCAAAAGAGAGCCCCGGACCATGGACAACCTGGGTCCCCACGAAAAGTGCAGCACGAGCCCCGCCCAGAGAACACCGACAGCCACAGGGAGGGTCCGGGCTCTGGACGCGACGCCCCACCACAGCACAGGGCCACAGGCCGCGAGGCCTTCCAGAGCTGTGTGCACGGGCCGAGGGAGCTGCTGGGGCAAGGCGGGCTTCAGGGGCAGGGCGAGCGCTCGCACCTCAAAACTGGCCAAGGCGCTGCCGAGCAGTCACAGACCGAGGCCGCCAAGCCGCGGGACGCAGCAGCCGGGGCGCGAAGCGGCGCCTGTCGGACGCATGAGCATGGCTCAGGCAAGACCACGCTGCCACGGCGCCGCCAGGGTGCCCGCCACGTGAGCCTCGCGCGTCTGGCACTCGCCGACCACCAACAGCAGGGCCTGGCAGCCTTCTGCCCTGCGCCCCCAGAGGTGAAGGCCGGTGCTCGCGCCCCAAGCCCCGTGCTCCCTGCCTGCGCTGCACCGGCACCGCCCCGCCCCAGGCCGGGCGCCTGGGTGCTTCCCTCAGACCCTGCAGCCGCAGGCCGGTGCCCGCAGCGTCGGGAAGAGCGCGTGCCCGTGCCTCGGGCACTCGGCCAGGAGCCTGGCGCCCTCCGTGGGCCAGGTCCTGCGAGTTGCCAGCAGGCGCCTGCGGGAGTCTCTGGGCAGAGGGGTCCCACTCGCCCCCACACCCCTCGCTGGCTGCAGGGAAGGGCCGCTGGCAAGCAGCTGACCCCGGGAGCTGGTAAACACCAAGCCAGGGGTCCACCGGACACTTCTGAAGACGGCGCTTACTGCGTGCGTGTGTCGAAGAACTGAGTTCCAGCTGCCGGACTTCTGACT